TGCGAGTATTTCGGAAAATTTTATACTAATGATGATATTATACCGTATGAAATAAAAATATTATTGTGTCGCTATAATTTATCTATAAGTTCCTTTATTAGTTTACGTGACATTCAATACAAATTGACTTTTCATTGCATTTGTAGAAGCAATATGCGAGTCTCGTGAGCATAAAGGAGTTTGTACTTGTCCTGAAGGAACCAAAGGCGATGCATTAGTTTCTTGCAGGCAAAGCAGACAATATTACGGAAGAAATTACTTGGCTAGATACTTTTACAAATAATTGTAAAAAATATATCGAATAATATTTGTTAGAAAACTTTAAAAATATACAAAAACAATGTTTAATATATCAAAAAAGATTAAATAATACGCTTATTAATGTATATAATTAAGTTCGAGTAGTCATAAACAGTTGTTCCTGTAAAGAGAGGTTATATAATAATAGTTATATATTACTAGTTTACGAGTTTATATATATATATATATATATATATATATATATATATATAATTTTATAAATTGTTCTAACGTTATAAATAACAAATTGTATTAAATATGAAGACTTTTTCTGAATAAAATATTATTTACAAGAATAAATGATGTATTTTTAATTGTATGCATAGTAAATTGACAGAAAAATACTATTCACTGATAAACAACAATGTTAATATTAGTACTATTCATCTAAATAAAAATGAATTTATTAACTTTCCGTACGGTAAGTTATTGAAATCGTCCAAAAATCGAAACCGAAAATTTTTGCATATCTTCACGTTTTGAAGGTTTTTGAACATTTTGGCATATCTTACGAAATAATGGATGTGTGTATATGTATGTATGAATACCATTTTTCGGCCACGTTTTCGGGCGCGCGGTTCAACCGATGAGAATAATTATATATATATATATATATATATATATATATATATATGTATGTATTACATGATTTTCAGCCAGTCATCGAAATAAAAAAACAAATAAATACAAATATTTATTTATAATATACGTTTCGACACGGATTGTGTGTCATCGTTCAGCAATTTTTTGTTAACAGTATCTAAAAAAAGAAAAAAAAATTAAGATACTGTTAACAAAGAATTGCTGAATGAATGAATGGTTATAAACAAATATTATATAAAATACAATCGGTAAAAAAAATTGATGGCAAAAGAGCTAGGTAACTGGTTAAAAAAATCCATAAATGTTACGTATCTATCAACTTTTTGTAGGATAATCGCTAAAAAATCGAAAATCAAAAGCAAAAATTATTTACCTGCAAATTTGATCTATAAATCCTTATTTATTACTGAGGTTTTTGAGACTTAATATTTTAAAATTTGTCTTCGCTTCACCTATTAAATCAGTGGTCGGGGAACTTTTGGAACCGTTACCCCAAAATGTTTTTGTGCAACTTCTCATTACCTCACAAAAAAATTAACTAAAAGAGCCTATAATTGGAATCTGTTTGCAACATATTTCTGTATAATCTGCCATAACATTGTTTGTTACTTCAGAACTACGAAAAAGGCTGAAATAAATGGTTTGAAGGAAACAATAAGTAAAAACTATATTCATTATGAATAAATATATTTTTCATGAAAATCCTACTAATCCGCACCGTGACGAAATTTTCGAAGAATTTTAAATGTTTCCAATTAGATTATTCTAAATATTGTAACACTGTATATAATATTCATAAGATATATATAAGCTGAATTACAAAATTTAAAAAAATTATTTATTCGAAGAATATAAGTGAGCTTTAGAACTTTAGCCAGAATTAAAATTAAAATCTGAATTATTTTCGATATACAAAGAACAATTTTTTGAAAAAAAAATTGAAAAATTTTTCTTTCCTAAAAGTAATTGTTTTGTCAACACAAACAGCAAGTTTTTTTAATCATTCAAATCGGATGCTTAGTTCTCTCAAAAACTGCCATTTTTGTACATTTAGCTCTGTATCTTCGAAATGGCTGGACATGCCTTTGCCAAAACCTAATCACTACTTCTCCCAATCATTACAAATTGAATGTTTTTTGGATCATTCATATGGGATACTCCGTTCTCTTAAAAATTCGATTTCTATTTTCTGCACTATTTACTCCGTATCTCCGTAACGGCTGGACCTGCCTTTGCCAAATACTAGTCAGCATATCTCCTTATCCATAGGAACCGAATGTTGAATGAACCATTCAAATCGGTGCGCTCGAAAACGTGAACGAAAAAATGCGGACACACAAAACACACACAAACACACATCCATTTTTTTCTTAGGTATGGCGGTGCAAATTGGCGTTGCACAATTTCTTCAATTCAAAATCATGTCTGCTAAATATGCGAGATATGCAACTCAGGAAGAGTTTTTAAAATTTTCAGCAAGAACATTTTTTTGAGAAACCATAGAGATTTCAGCTTCATTTTTAAGAGTCCATACTCAATTTAAAATATTTCCGCGATAGAGCCACCTCACTTCTGTATAATAAAGAAGGTAAGTCTCAGCTTCACCATCCTGACATAATTCACAAAATAGCCGCGTATTTAGTGCATGTCCCTTGATAAAATTTATAATCTTGATAACATGATGAGTGTGGATTATTTTCCCTTACAAAAGCTGAAAAACCATAAATATGACCCATCATAGATGGAGCTTAATCCAAAGACACCAAACTGCAATTTCCCCATTTTAATCTTTACGCTTTGAAGTATTCGTTTACCTTATTATAAATATCAATTTCACGACATCTGAACTCGAGAAGAAAACAAAACAGCAATTTCTTTTCAAAATTATCCGCACCTTTATAGCAAACATATACCAGTTGTGAATTACTACTGAAATCCGTTGTCTCAAGCTGAATAGCAAAATATTTAGTTTGTTTTAATGCAAAAACTTCACAGTTTTTGCTAATGCAGAGATTCATTTCGGTAGTAGGTTTTACTGAAGCTGATTTAAACCAAGCAAGATATTTAACTTGTTTTAGTGCGAAAACTACTTATTCCTTCACATTTTCTGCTAATGCAGAAATTCTTTCCGATAGTAGGTTTTACTGAAGCTGATTTAGTGCTTTGCAAATATATACTTTTTACCCCCAAAAATTTCACTTTTACCCCATTTGGGGTAATTTACCCCGGTTCCCCCGACCACTGTATTAAATGGTGGTAAAGAAATGCTTATCGTACAGGTTTGATAAATATATAGAAAAGTCAGAAGCATAAAAAAGGGATATGTAGTTAATCATAATATTTCGTTATCAATAGTAATAAAAAGAAGATTCTGACAAACTAACTATGCATACGATTAATATTAATTGTATGTATTGTACATCTGTAAATAACATTAATATTATTTTCACAAATTGGTACAGAAAACCTATATGATCAGATAAGCATTTTCACTATGCCTCGAAATACAAAACAAACTAGTTGGTATTGGTATTTTGCCTTGAAGCAAGTTACATGAACTTCCCGATATGTGTAAATAATTGACTTAATCAATAAAAAAATAAATTAATTTGTGAGTTATTAAAAGTATTCCAGTATTTATTACATATAATTGAAAACGAACGAACACGGAGTATTTTCTAAAAGCAAATTTTCACAAATCAATATAATTTTTATAATTCAAACAGTTTCCGTAGAAATTTAATGGTTTAGTACGCTTATCAAGAACTCTATCGTTATAACAATAAGTAAATCGTCTAATTTTAATATTAACAAATGTCAAAATAATTACTCATTTTCCCAAATTTTGATGCATTTTTAAAATTAAACTATTTGTCGTAAGACCGTAATATTTCAGTAAGTTCTATAAGACCATGATATATATCGCCAAAACAAGTTCCATAAAAATCGGCTTAATTTTTTTTTTCAACAGTTAATTACAAGAAAACGGCTTGGTATATTTTCACCCAAAACTAATCAGTATCATTACCAACTAACATCTTTCGAACAGTTTTTGATTTTTTTAAATCTATTCGGTAGTATGAGCTTAAATGTAGACAAAAAGTTTAACACTTTTTTTAAAAAATTACAAAGAAAGCTTGGCAGATCATCGCACAAAACTGACAAACGATAGTCCTCATTGAGAAACATCAAATGGGTTTTAAATTTCTGAAATCGGTTCAGGCGTTATTGAGCAAACGTCGATGAAAGATCTAATTTTGACAAATGCTGAAAAAACGATACTATTTTTTGCAAACTTTGACGATTTTTTTAAATTAAACGACTTGTCGTAGGACCGTAATAATTTAGTATAATATACAAGACTATGGTATCTACGTATCTACCATAAAAAAATCATAAAAATCGTCGAGATTTTTTTTAACACTTTATTACAAGAAAACGGGCCCGGCCGATCTTTACCAAAAACTAATCAGCACGTTTCCCAACCAATATCTTTCAAACGGTTTTTTATTTTCAAAATTGTTTCAGAATTGCAGGCTAAAACGTCGACGAAAAATTTTTCACTTTTCTGCGATTTACAAAGAAACGGCTTGGCTAATCGTTGCGCAAAATTGATAAACGCTAGTCATCGAGATACATCGAATGGCTTTTAAAATGTTGAAATAGATCCAGACGTTTTTGAGAAAACGTCAATTTACGGCAAAAAAATCTGTTCACACATACACAGACGCGAACATACTTTTTCCAAATTTAGTCTCATTTAGAATGGCTTGAAACGTCGAGAAAACAATATTAGCGAATCGGATTTTTTGATGAAAACATAATCCTCTTCTTCGGAAAGTTAATTAATACAATCATTTATTTAATAGACTACGCGATTATTTTATCTTATTCTTCTTTTATGGGCAGAACTTAACATTCATAACCAAATTTTGAATAGCAACCGATTTTAATTTTAACTACAATACGCGCGCTTCCATACACTGTTGGCAAGCTTGCAAAATGACAAATGTCTACCATCATCATCTATGAAAATCCTCATGTGCCTTCTATGCCCTGTCATAAATGAAGTTCAATATGAAGGTTATATACACGCGGTCCCATTTTCACTTTTTGGCGTAATGTAAATACACGATTTGACAAAGTTTACCACTAACAGCTAAGATTTTGGGTTCGATTATATAACACGATTTTTCTTTGATAATTTTGAAATACGAATTAGACTTTTACTGCAGTATGGCTAAATCATTAAGAAGTAAGTGGCGACGAAAATGCCGAGCAGTGAAACGTGAAAGATATCAAGTCAAAGAACTTGAGCGCTTGAAGAAAACTTTAGGAATAGTTGAAAACAGCAACCCATCAGATGTTCAAATGGAACCTGTTGCAGATATTGTAACTATAACAAACATTAAAGACAAGGTATGGAAATAATATAATTCGACAGATTTCTTAAATGACAGGATTGATAAGTCGTTTTTAATAACTTTTTAACCAATCTGTTAATTTATCGCTCCTATTTTTCTTTTCTTCTAAAGTTTTGGTTATTATAATTTTATTTCAATTTGAATTTCATGATCACTTGACGCTATATTTTTTTTATCTTATAAATTCTCAGATATCCAAAAAGAAAGAAATTAACAAAACCCAAATGCTGAGACGCACAATAAGGAAACAGAAGTAGAGGAAATGGATACTAATAAAGTTGTGAGGGTTTATAATAAACGCACAATGAGGGATCAGTTTGGAAATTACCCTCCTTGGATGAGTAAGCGGAGCATTCGCGACAAGAAACGTTTAAAAAAAGGAAAGAAAGCTACTAAGAAATGATTTGTTGAATAAGTGTATGAGAAAAAATGACGTCAAATTTAATACTTAATTACCCTAAAGGATGCTAATAAAAACAAAATGTTATACCTACACCTGTAGCAAATATTAATAAATAAGATTTGTTATAAAACTATGGATTATGATTTTCACAATTACTTTTCTTTATTAAGTTTATTATTTGCCCAGTGAATGTTTAGTGAGTTTTTTTTTGTTCTTTTCTATAAAAATTATAAAATAAGTTCTACTGAGCAACGTATGTATATAAAAAATTTAACTTCTGTATCATGTTATCTACATTAAGCTTTTTGCATAAATGTTAATAAGTAATTGCTCATTAGTGGAATTGCTTTTCTGAACCACACTTTGAACTTACAGAACGAATTTATGTTTACCCTAAAATTTAATAACCACAAATATTTTCTATATTTCACATTTGTATAAAAGTTTTTAAAATTATTTTAATTTTAAAATTATGCTTGATATAGATGTACTACAAATAATTAAAAATAAGTTTACAAGCAACATATCCTTAAATATAAAACTTTTATTTATGATAAAAACATAACAAGCTTATTTAATAAATATAATTCTGCAATATGAAAGCAGAAATTTACTGATTTAAAAAAATAAATCAGTTTTTACCCCTGGGGTTTGTTTTTCTCTTTTTGCGCGTCTTGATTTTCCTAATCGTTTTAGCACAGGTTTTTTAGAACCTTTCAGTTTGAACCTTACCAGTAAGTTTTGGAGGTCCTCCTATAAGCAGTAACATCAGCAGCAGATTCTTTGGTATTTAATTTTGATCCTTCTTTCTGCCACCAAAGCCAAACTTACATCCTCGCTTTCCTTTTAGCCATAGACCTTTGGTTCACATTTTTTATGTTGGGTTTATTTTTATTGCCATCTAAGAAATCCAAATTACTTTTTGTGCCCTTTGCGGTATTTTTTAACTTGATCTAACATTTCCTTCTTATCCATGGCTCTTTGAACTTTTGCTTGAACCTTAAAAATTAAAATAGTTTGAAATAAAAAATAATTGTACAATGTTGCTAGCTTTTTGTAAACCAATAATTTTCAAAAATTAATTATTCAGAAATTTAAAAAAATCACTACTATTTTGAATTATACATATCAAATTACATACTTGTAATTGTTTTCCACGTTTCCTCTGCTCACGTAATTGTTTCATTCTTTCTGATTTAGCTTGACCTTCTTGTTTGCTAATAAATGTTTACGAACTTTTTGCATATGCTCATCAGATTTGCCATTTCAGCAAAATAGTCTTCTGGTCAAAAAAAATATTAAAAAAATATTATGATATAAAAATACAATATATGGCTTTAGATGCTAACCTCTTGGTATAAACTCCAAGTTTCCTTTAGTCTTGAGATACCATCTATAACTGCTGCTTGGGCTTGCTGATGAAAAATAACATTTCACGGTGAAAATCATTTACAACAGGATCGTCCTTCGGTGTAATTTAGCTAGTTTAGCATTATTTTTCAACTGTTTTTCCCTAAAATTTATATGAACAATCAAGATTTTTATGTTTTATAAATACCTAATTAAAATTTTAAAACAAGTCATGTTATTTAGACGCTATAAAAAAATATCTTATTTAAGATGTTCATTAGATGAAGAATTAAGATTTGACCATTTATTAAGGAAATACATGCAGTTAGCAACCTAAAAAGAACAAACCTTTTGTCATCGTGTTCTTTTATTTGCATTGCAAGTTCAGGTGCTAAAGGTGCAGGTTCATTTACCCAATCCAAGCATTCCACCCACGGTAATTTTTGCTTAAACGATTGGACTTTATGCCTCACTCACCCTGATTTAATAATGGAATGAAAGTGAAAGATTTGTATTCAAATAAAGATATTATTGTATATAAAATATTTCATTACCACAT